CAGCTGGGAATCTGGCCACAGCATCGCCCATATCTGATCTCAATCCTGTGTTCATGGCGGCAAACTGCACACTTGTCGCAAAGTCCATGCATAAAGAAACCGAACTACCTATGGCTACGTTCTTCAGGGGTTACCGCAAGACCGCATTAGACGCGGATGCTATCATTGCCGCTATCCGCATCCCGCTGACAGGCGAAAAGGGAGATTACTTTAGAGCTTACAAGCAGGCCAAGAGGAAAGACGATGATATTGCGATAGTGACTAGCGCCCTGCATGTTACTGTTGATCAGAAAGGTACGGTCAAGCACTGTAACCTAGTATATGGTGGAATGGCACCATTCACGGTCGCTGCCAAACATGCCAACGAGTATCTGAATGGGAAGATGTTCGCGCACCCGGACACACTTGAAGGCACCATCAACGCGCTTGAATCCGATTTCGACCTCGTATTCAGTGTCCCTGGTGGCATGGCATCTTACCGAAAAGCCTTGGCTTTGGGTTTTTTCTACCGTTTCTATCACGAGGTGTTGTCCGAGATCAATTCGGAAAGCAAGCATGGTGATAGCCAAGCCGTCGAAGAGCTGGAGCGGGCATTGTCGACGGGCTGGAAAGATCTCGAAGCGACTACTGAGTACGTCCAGGAATCGCTTGGAAAGGCCGGTAATCACGTTGCTGCTCTCAAGCAAGTAACCGGCGAGGCGCAATACACTGATGACATTCCACCTTTGAAGAATGAACTTCACGCGTCCATCGTTTTCTCATCAAAGGCTCATGCAAAGATCAAGTCTATTGACTACTCTGCAACCCTAGATATTCCGGGCGTAGTTGATATCGTTGACAGAAACGACCTGCACAAGCCCGAGGACAACAGATGGGGCGCGCAGTTGGATGAGTGTTTCTTTGCCGAAGACGAGGTGTTCACTGCAGGTCAGGTCATCGCTGTAGTATTGGCTACTTCAAAGGCCAGGGCAAATGATGGAGTTCGCGCGGTGAAGATCGAATACGAAGACCTCCCAGCCATCTATACCATGGAAGAAGCTATCGAGAAATCGAGTTTCCACGATTTCTTCAAGTACATCAAGAGTGGCGACGTCGAAGAGGCCTTCAAGAAGTGCGATCATGTCTTTACGGGCGTAACTCGAATGGGTGGCCAGGAGCATTTCTACCTGGAGACTAACGCTTGTGTTGCAATACCCAAGCCTGAAGATGGTGAAATGGAGATATGGTCCAGTAGCCAAAACCCAACCGAAAGGTAGCGTTTTTCGGATCTAACCATGGTTAAAGCTACATACTAACAGGCCAACAGTCAAATGCATGCCGCGAAGGTTCTTGGCGTTCAGGCCAACAAAGTTGTCGCGCGGGTCAAGCGGTTAGGTGGAGGCTTTGGTGGCAAAGAATCCAGATGTGTCCCGCTCAGCACTATGATGGCCTTGGCTGCTCAGAAAGTCAAACGCCCAGTTAGGTGCATGTTGAATCGCGATGAGGACATGATATCGTCTGGACAACGCCATCCCTTCTTAGCGAAATGGAAAGTTGGTGTCAATAAGGACGGCAAACTTCAGGCTCTCGACGTCGACGTATATACTAATGCTGGTTGGTCCCTCGATCTCAGCTCAGCTGTTTGCGAACGATGCATGAGCCATATCGATGGATGCTACAAGTTCCCCAATCTCCACGTTCGTGGCCGCCTTTGCAAAACCAACACAATGTCCAACACGGCGTTCCGTGGCTTCGGCGGACCCCAGGGCATGTTCATCGCTGAATCAATGATGTCTGAAGTAGCAGACCGGCTAGGTATGGCCGTGGAAGAATTCCGCGAGATGAATTTTTACGGCGACAACGAACCAACCCACTTCAACCAGATAATAGAAGACTGGCATGTGCCGATTATGTACAAACAGGTGAAAGAGGAATCGGACTATACCAATCGGCGGAAAGCCGTCCAGGAGTTCAACTCGAGTCACAAATGGCGTAAGCAAGGTCTCGCTCTTATCCCTACAAAGTTCGGCATTTCCTTCACGGCGGTTTGGTTCAATCAAGCTGGCGCATTGGTTCACATTTACCATGATGGTTCAATTCTAGTTGCGCATGGCGGTACAGAGATGGGCCAAGGATTGCACACCAAGATAACGGCCATCGCTGCTGAGGCATTGCAAGTGCCTATGACGGATGTGTTCATCTCGGAGACTGCTACGAATACCGTTGCGAACACATCGGCTACAGCAGCCTCGGCATCATCCGATTTGAATGGATATGCAGTTTGGAACGCCTGCCAACAGATCAACGCTCGCCTGGCCCCCTACAGAGAAAAGCTCGGGCCCAAAGCAACAATGAAGGAGCTCGCGAACGCGGCCTATCTCGATCGCGTAAATCTCAGTGCCAACGGCTTTTATAAGACCCCGGATATCGGCTATCAATGGGGCGAAAACACAGGCAGGATGTTCTTTTATTTCACGCAGGGTGTTACTGCTGCGGAAGTGGAGATCGACTGTCTCACCGGAACCTGGACGTGCTTGAGAGCTGATATCAAGATGGATGTGGGCCGCTCAATCAACCCATCTATTGACTACGGTCAAATCGAAGGAGCTTTTGTCCAAGGCATGGGGCTCTTCACCATGGAGGAGAGCTTGTGGCTCCGCAATGGCCCGATGGCCGGAAACCTATTCACCAGAGGCCCGGGTGCATATAAAATCCCGGGCTTCCGCGATATACCGCAGAACTTTAACGTCAGCCTCCTCAAGGGCGTGACCTGGGAAAATCTCCGCACGATTCAAAGGAGTCGTGGAGTTGGTGAACCACCCTTGTTCATGGGGAGCGCCGTGTTCTTCGCTATCCGAGACGCCCTCAAATCTGCACGTGCAGAATATGGCGTTGTGGCCAAATTAGGAGCTGAAGGTGGCGAAGACGATGGGTTACTGAAGCTCGAGAGTCCCGCAACTCCCGAAAGAATCCGGTTGTCTTGCGTCGACCCGATTATGGAGCGCGCGCGCGTCCTTCCCAAGGAGGGAGAGAAGAGCTTCTTTGTCTACATATAATTGGCCTGGGTGGCTCCCTTACGGGCTTCAGATCGCCGATATTAGATGGGTACTTCATAGCCTTCGTAGGGAGGAAGCCATGAGAATATGAGCTAAGAATAACAAAATAGCCGTGGCTCAGCATTGATGTGTTTTTCGTGACTGCAAGATGAGAACCATTCATCTATTATTGCCGTATGATACCTAGCGCCGCAAAACGTAATATCATAGACATTAGGGAGTCAGAACCCCTCCCCCAAGCGTATCTATATATGCTGGATCACGTCTCCATCCCAATACAACATCAGATCCCCTTCCCATACTGGGTATAGCATGAAGGTTTTTACGTATGTGGTGGCGTAAGCAAATAACGAGACCAGCAAATATCTTATAACCGGGTAGCGTCATGCTACCGATTTCGATCCACCACCCATAAGCCAAACTTCCGCCACAAACAAGTCCCAGCGGGGATCAGCCGCATCATTCAAACACGCTGCCCGTGCTTGACCAGCCCAAACATTTCCGTCGTATCTGCCCAGGAGAGATCATATCCTCTCATTCACTAGTACCCTGAGTAACGGATCAGCATTTACCATCCACGCGCAGTACGCAGGCAACAGAGCAACAGGAATGCCGAAAATAGCCATCGTCGGCGCGTCAGGAAAGCTGGGCGGAGCCACAGTCTCTGCACTGCTGACACACGGGCTCGCGTCGCCGTCCGACGTCATCGCCCTGACATCATCGACGCCTGAGTCACAGACATGGGCCAAGCTCGGGGGCACTGGCGTGCAAGTCCGCCACGCGCGCTTCGAGGACCCCGCATCGTTCGAGCGCGCCCTCGAGGGCGTGGACCGGTTCTTCCTCGTCTCCACACCGGCCATCTCCCTCGATTTCGGGACCGCGATGGATTTCGACGGCACCGCCGCTGATGCCGACCCCGGGAACGGCGGCCCGGGGAGAGAGAAGCATCACAAGGACGCCATCGACGCGGCCGTGAGGGCGGGCGTAAAATGGATTGTGTACTCGAGCCTGGCGTTCGGGTTTTCCCCCTCGGGGCGAGACGGGAAGGCCGCAGACCGCAGCAAGGCGGGCGTGATGCGCGCGCACCTGCGCACCGAAGCTTACCTTCGCGCCATCAGCGCGAGACACGGCGTCCACGTCACGATTTGTCGCGAGGGGCTGTACAACGAGTCATGGCCGCTCTACCTCGGATACTTCGATGCCGAACACTCCCGCGATGAGCGGGACGCCGTGGTCCTGGCCGGCGACGGGAAATTTTGCTGGACGGCTATCCATGATCTTGGGGTGGCGAGCGCGCTCATCCTCTCTGCTCGTCCGGAGTCCCCTGCCGGGCTCGTCGCGGATGAGTTTGTCGGGAAGACGTTCTACCTGTCCACGCGCCCCGAGACCGCAAAGACGCTTGCCGAAATCGCGCAGGTTGTTGGTGAGACGAGGGGGAGGGGCGTTCAGGTTAAGACTGTTGGACGTCAGGAACATGAGAGGTATTACGTCGAGGAACGGGGGAGACTGGCGCCTGCTGTCGAGTGGTGGGCTAGTACGTATGAAGCGGCTGAGGACGGAGAGTGCCTTATTGATGACCCTCTACTGAACGAGCTGCTGGGCCGTGTTGGCCTGAAGCCTATTCCGGTCGAAGAGGCGATCACTGCTATGGTCAAGGGGTAGAGAAGTTGGAAGCGCGTGTGAAAAGTATAGATGGTCATTCAAATTGGTCGAGACGATTGTCAGTCGGGGATCTTAGGTAGATAACAGCCAGCAATGAAAAGGTGATTTTGATTTTGTGTGCGACGAATATCTTGCCCATGGGTGGTTCAACAAGAGTAAAATAGCCTCCTAGATACATACCAACAGCTATGAGCATCTATGTATTCATCTTTTCCGTTCTGCTGAGGTTAAGCAAAAATGATCGCATTCAGGAGTCTTCGCTCCCATTCCAGCACGAATCTCATGAAATGAGCAAAAAATTCATGATGAGAGTGGGACTCGAACCCACGCGGATTGCTCCACCGCGAAATTGTATATTGATGCTTCAATATGCGGCCTGAACACGGCGCCATAACCACTCGGCCATCTCACCATTGAGGTGACCGTTGTTTGTTGGGCCGTATGTGACGCGGGTGCACCGGCCGGGGCATCTGAGGGGCCGGTAACGAAGATCTTTGGAGACGTTACGGAATAAAACAAGAACAAATCACGACCTGTGAACAATTCAAAGCCCACACGATTCTGTATCTGGACGCTTTGGTCCACAGTGCATGATATACTCGATACATTAGGTGTGGTCAAAATCACGGTTAAAATCAAGGATCCATTTGGTTACAGGGCGTTTAGCAACTACCACCTACCTATACCTGCTATGTCGTCAGTCACGGGCTGTATGGGCACACGTCCTAGATCCCAGCTCCCGGTACCCGGTTATATCTGCACTGTGCTGGGAAAAGGGCATCTGTCGGTCTTTTTGAGACAGCGTGCCGAGACCTTTTTGCTTCCAGCCTCCTTACAACCCCCAACCTACACGAGAGCCAACGCTGAATGTTCAAGCTGCCTGCTCACTCACTCTGACTCCAACTTGGGTTCTTATTCTGTGTACTATACTATAGGTACAATATTACGATACGATGGGTCCCAAACCAGGGCAGAAGACGGTGCTTGTGACCGGGTATGAAATCGTCTTGTAGTCTGGAATCTCATCCGAGATAACAAGGACTAACAATGTTGCTTGTAGTTGCACGCCAGGCGGCATCGGTCACAGCCTCTGTCTTGAATATCATAGACAAGGCAATACATATGTCCCAGCAAATTTCTTAACGTCGTCCCCTACTGACCAGATGTCAGGCCTGCACGTCATCGCCACTGCGCGCCGGCCTGAGGTTCTTACAGAACTGGCTGAGATGGGTATGACTACTTTGGCACTGGATGTTACCGACGTGGAAAGCATCAAGAAGTGCCACGACGAGGTCGCGGGAATCAATGGTGGGAAGCTGGATATTCTTGTTAATAACGCGTGAGTAGCGACTGTCCGGTGCTTTTCTTATAGGCGCAGGTACACCTGGGTAGAAAACCCGCTTGCTCACCAAGTTTCCAATAGCGGTCGCACTCATACACACCCAGCACTAGACATTTCGCTCCCTGACGTCCGCGCGACATTCGAGACCAACGTCTTTTCCATCATGGCAATGGTCCAAGCATTTATCGACCAGTTGATTGCAGCCAAGGGGCTGATCATTAACATCTCATCGCTTTCTTCCATCACGCCTTATTTGTTCGGGTCCGTGTACTGCGCCAGCAAGGCTGCTGTGAATGCCTACTCACGGACTCTGCGCCTCGAGCTTGCGCCGTTCGGTGTCCGGGTCATGGTGTCCATGACTGGTACTGTGAAGAGCAACACAGCGAATCAGGGTCATCGCGTTCTCCCCGAGAATAGCCTTTACCAGAAGGTCAAGCATATTTTCGAGTGGCGACTTGTATTTAGCCAGCAACACAAAACCATGGATACGACAACCTTTTCAAAAAAGCTCGTTTCAGCAAGTCTACGTCCAGAAAGTCCAGGCTGGTTGCGAAGCCTACTCGGACGCCCGGATTGGTTCTGGGAGGGCGGCCTCGCACGGTCAATGTGGTATGTGCACTCTATCGGCGAATGGCTCGTTGATATGCTCTGCTGGAACGGGTTTCGCCTGCCGGAGATAATGAGTATTCTTGGGGAGGAGTTGGCGCAGAAGAAGCTGAAATAGCCGAACCACCTTCTTCGTATCACTCGCCTACGTTGTATGCCCTTGGATATGGCAACGGATGAAGTAAATCCCATGAATGGACGCAGTTTTCTGCAGCATATTTGCTTCATGTAAGCGCCGGGAGACGCTCCGCTCACACATGGCGCCCCCCGGATCTGAATGTCCCAGTATGCGGCACCAACCCAAGGAGTGTCACACCGTGGATGAGACACTCAGGGTACTCTACTTTACACGCTCAATTGCTGTAAAAGGAGCTGTAACGTGGTTTAGAGGCGTGCTTAGTGGCCTGCAGGGAAGTTGGCTTTTGCGACCAGGTAACTCCGGAGATATACATAAGAGAATCGCACACCAATACCTACCGAAGCTACCTACCATACTGGAACCCTTGAAGCTTTTTAGCACCTAACTAAATCAAACGTTACACTTCCACGTGTTGGTCAGCCAGATTCACCGGGGCAGCTAGGAGGCAGTGTAGCCAATTGCGTGAGCTGGATTGGCGCGGTATCCGGTTTGCCAAGCTTTGCGCGATGGTCGGAGATTGGAGGCAAACTTGACACCTCACAAAACCTCACAAAAGCAGGAACGGCAAGGTGTAAACAGGCATTATCCCAAACCACCAGTATCCCAAACCACCAGTCCGTTCATCAATGACGAAGGCCGAAGGGTGGCCAGAGAGCGGCGGGAACCCGCCGGAACCTGGATGTTGGGTCTGGCTAATAAAAGCATCAAAGGATTCGTTCTAGGAATCTTACGTTGGGAACTTAGCAGCACCCTTGTACCACGCAAGCCGTCTGCATTGCTACATCGTGGCTTGTTGCCAATGCAGCGGGCACCAACTAACGGGTATAAATGCCACGCCGGGCACATCCGTCGCAGCTAGCTCTCCCACCTTGCTTCTGTCCGTCAACATCACTCAGATTCTCCATCGGCCTTGCTGCGGTCCAAGCCAAAGATCTCCACGATGGGCTACTTGATCAACCTCCTGCTCATGAGCGCTCCGCTCTTCGCCCAATACGTAGCATCTGAGTTGCCGTCTTTGGATGTTCCTTCTTGCGATCATGGCACGGGTCGCGTTCAGTACAACAGGTCCGTCCCCAGCGGCAAGGACGATTTTCCTCTCACACAGGTCGATCTTTGCTACACCGACAGCGACATCGAAGTCTCGTTCACTGCGTTTGGGGAGGTGAACTTCTTCTACAATGCGAGCCAGACCACCAATGACCCCATCTACAACTATGAAGTGATGGAGACTTTCATCTACCATGGGACTAATGATCCTCAGAGCTACCTCGAGTTCGAGGTGAGCCCCAACAACATCACATGGCAGGCTTTCATCTACAACCCGTCCAAGGTGCGGGCCACGGGTGCTCCATTTGATCAGGCTCTGCTGCACACTCCCCTGGCCGATGGGCTTCTTGCCAGCACTTCGCTGGACCGGGAAGCGGGAATCTGGGTGTCGAACGCGACTATCCCGTTGGGTCTATTCAGTGTAGACAACGGCACGGCGAAGGGAACGGAGTGGAGGATGAACTTCTTGCGCACGGTCGTGTCGCCAGATACCTTCCCGGATCAGGGTCTCGGTGCTTGGAACCCGCCAACCATGGCCAACTTTCATATAACGCCCCTTTTCGGGAACGTGCGGTTCATCTAAGGCAGAACTGCCAATGGCATTCATACGATTCTAGAAATCTATTTTGGCATTCAATGAGGGAATTACAACTAAATCCTACCCAGGCATCAGGTCGATGAAAGATGACTAGGGGGGGGTTGGAAGTACCTGGATTTGAATGGTATTTTGGATGCAAACATCGATGATTTCGGATATATTGTCGGTCTTTCTTTGACTGTGCATTCGACGCGACGTATGTATATGATATGCCCACCCTTAATGTGCGTTTCGCAGCATCCTGGCCGATACCGACTGTACATGCCATTATATGTTGTAGGTTACAGTAGTAGAGTTGTCGATTTGCCCTTGTGTAGCGATGCATGATCGACCTGGGCGCCCGCATACGGGCTGAACCTCTGCCGTGTCTAGATACACTAGATATATCCTGGAGTATGCTGGCGCAGATGCATGCATACTGAGTATCTAAGGCACATATGTTCCCTGAATAGTACCTAAGTTCCAGCAACATTACCTAGTCCGATCGATAGACGAGATCTTACTTAACCGTCGCACACCCTGCTTGAGCGCCCTCTTGACCTCCACGCTTAACCACACCAAGTAGCCGCATGAAGGAAACCCAAGTTACCGCCATTCTGAAATGGACGGAGGCCAGTTAACGATCTATACGTCCTGTATATGTCCTTTCTCTTCGACTTAATAAAAAAAGCGTTCCTATAATATGTCTCGATCGTCGTCAACACAAGCACGGGGTTCATAATGAGAAGATATGAACGCACCGAGGAGCTACCTGACAGTAACATCAACGATTCAGGGATGACAGATATTCGGGACTTGACCGTCCTTCCAGGTTTTGTCGACGCACATGCTCATATATTTCTGCACGGTTACTCCGAAACCCCGACCATGAACCAGATGCGCAACGAAAGTCTTGTCAACAGAGTCGTGCGAGCCACTAACTACGCAGAAGAGGCGCTGGTGGCGGGTTTCACGACATATCGCGATCTGGGGACTTACGGAGGGACTGCGCCATGCCGACGTACATTTCAGAGATACCATCAGCCGCGGTATTAGCCCCGGTCCCCGCATGTTCGTCCCGACCGATTGTATCGCATCAAGCAGCGGATATGAGTTTAGACACGAGAACAGTCTGCCAGGTGTAGGTAATAGTGTGCTTCGGATTTTGGACACGGCAGATGGCGTATATGGAGTTCGCGCAGCAGTACATCGACGGCTAGGCGCCAACGCCGACATCATCAAGTCTCACGCAGATTATGAAAAGCGCAGGTTGCGCTCTCCAGCCCAGCCTTGACCTGGCGCGGGGCGTACTCAATTCCCGCCCTTAGAGGACTTCTGCTTCGGTGGTCAGGCGAGCGTATATCCCTTGTTCACTCAAAAGGAGATGGATGCGATGGTGGCAGACGCGCGGATGGGTAGAGCCTCAATAGCTGCCCACGCTGAGAGCCTGGACGCTATCATCATAGCTGCGAAAGCCGGTGTGACGTCCATTGAACATAGTTTCATAGCCAACAACGAGGCATTGGATACGATGACAGACAACAAGATTATTTTTGTCCCCAGACTATCCGTATACGACCAGGAGCCGCGTCGATATAACTCCTAAGAGAGTTGTTATATGGAATACCAATGGATTCTTGATCTCGTAGAGAGGGCGCACGATGGGGGCGTCAAGCTCGCCTGCGCCCGGGGGGGGGCACG